AACTTCTGAGATACATTGCAAATGCACTAACGGGTAAGAATAATTCAAAAATAGCATTTTTGGAGGTGCAGAAAAGTAAAATTGCTAACTAATCAATTTCATTATTGTATATCCAAATCGTGCACCTTTTGCAACCATAGTCACTTCTGCAATTAATATACACATTTTACTTTAAATTTATATTCTTAGCAGGTAAAGTGTTTAAAAGACAATGCTTTATACCTTTTTGCTTGCTTTGGTAAGTTGTGACCAATAGACATATTTTTAAATATATATTACATAAAGCAAGTTTTTCTAGAATATCTGGCTGGGATTTTTATTTGGAAGGTGTTGAAGCAGGAAGTCATACATATTTCTAAGTGACAGCTGATTATACTATCTCAAGGAGAGTGGTTAGATTATGTATTGGCCAGTCTATTTTTATCTAGATTATACTTTAGTGAAGCTCTGTAAAAATATACAGAATCCAAATAGAAAATCTATTTTTATTCCCTTGAGCAAAAGCTGATCGCTGACATGATTTGAGTGGCTGATAGCATTTGCCACCAACTGCAACACTGTAATGCCTGATGACACAATATTTTCCAATGGTCTCAATAGAAGACACCTGCCACATCTCAGATACCACTGGTAAAAAAATGGTGGAGTTGACGTTATGGGCCTTGATTCAGGAATGCACTTAATACCATGCTTCAGACCATTTCTACTTAGGAAAGTACTTATGCACATCATTTGCTTTAATCACTCGAATTTTAATAACATGCTTAACCATCTTCCCAAAATAGGAATGCTTTTCTGCATCAGGACCATACTCCCCATTAAGGACAAATGCAGTCTTTTCCTCTACAGGTACAGTGGGTCCCTAAGTGTGGTTGATTCCGTATAATTTTCCTACAAGACATAAGTAGGCGCTTAGAAGGTTGCACAGTGGCTATTCATGTGTGGAGCAGTGCTAGGTGAGGTATGTTTGGAGAAGGGCAATGGGTGGGTAGAGCAGTTTTACTCATTACTTTTCAGGTTTTTCATCTCGTGGAAAGGGATAGGGTGAGGGTTAGGCTCACGCACTGATTGTACTGGGATTCCACCGCTACTTTGCAGTCTTTGGAAGAGTATTTCTTTCACCCCTTGCTACCACAGATCTCCTCACAGCCCGACAACAACTGACCTTCCAAAGCTAAAGATATAAAAATCAGTTTGCCCTCTTTTAGGGCACATTTTTTTGAAGATGCCACTCCTTCTAAAAGTGCAGCCTGTGAGCCAATGGAACGTACAATATAATGTACAGTGGTCACTATTCACACAGCAACATTTGTCCAATGATTCCATGAAGTCACCACAATTGCCTGAAATATTTTGCATTTTAACCACAGGAAAGGTTATGGCATCAGAGATACCATTGTATGGTAAGTGCTGGATGCTGCCCTTGTCACGGCAACTATTGTACATTCACGGGATCTTAAACCTATTTGCCATTTTGCTGGACACAACATACATCTTAAGGCATTGAAGTAATTCATATAATTTTTAAAAACAATATGCCGTAGAGGGAGTATGTCAACACTGCAATCAGCTGGTGTGAAGGAAACATGTATAGACATACCAAGGCATCTTGCTCTAAGTAGAGAGAAGATAGCTTGAGTAAGAATAGAAGTGAAGACAAGGCAGCATGGTAGAGGCTGATTGAGTATGTTCTCAGAGTTCTGGGTTGGTGGGGATAAGACTTGTAGCCTCCTGTGGTTCTTTGGCTTCACTGCTATTGTTATTCAAGCTCAGTTTGATCTAACTAGATCAAACCCAGTTCAGATGTGTCTACCATGCTGTCATTACAGCATCCGATTGCAAGACAGACATACCCTTAGTTAAGAGACCTCACACTTTTATTCTGATCACAGAGAAGCCAATGGGATTTTGACATTTTCTTCATTGGGAGCAGAATCAAGCATTATGACCCCAATCCTGCAAAGGCTTATTCACATGCTTAGCTTTATGCACTATGAAAAGTCCTACTGAAGTCAAGTTAAGCATGAGTAAGACTTTTCAGGATCGGACCCTGATTTCGTGAGGGATTTTTTTTTTTTTTGCATCTAACTAAACAATAGAAATATGGTATATTATTATTTTACAGAATGAGGCTTACAGTATTCCTAAGAATTCTGCTTTGAGTAGTTCATATCAGGAACTAGAGGCTGGGTTTTCAAAGCGCTGAGCACCCATACTTGGGGGCCCTTTTTTCAAAATATCTCATCTGGGTCCTAATTCTTTCAAACATTTGGTCCTATAATTTAAATAGATTTGGGAAAATGAAACATGGTGAAACCAAGAACACCGTATCTTCAGAATCTATAAATCTGTTTTTTATAACAGAATGTCATCTACATACACCCATGAAACCTTCCAGGTTATGGTTAATTCTGCGAAATTCAGCTCAATCTAAAATTTTCCATCAGTGATTCATCCATGACTCAAAAAAAAAAAAATATTTTAACCTACAATTAAAAGTTGTAGATCTTGTAAAGTAACAGTAGGTGAAGTTCATTTTATGTAAATAAATATTTTGATCAGACTAATTCAATCAATATCATTGATAGTAAAACTCACATATTATTCCAGAGTTTGTTTTGATAACAGAAAGGTTGTTATTTAATGGTAACACAGCCTTTCCCCAGAAAACAATAGTTTCATTAGTTGTATACAGTTTTGACAGTTGCTTGGATACACAGAATTATAAACATCTTGATACACACAATCTATTATACATTTTGAAAAGTTTGTTTGTGGATTTGTTTGTGCAAAATAAAGTCATACTTTACAAATTATCTACAGATCCAAATTTTGCATAAACAATCCTGCCACTTCAATTAGCTGAATGCACTACTTTTTACACCAGATATGCTGAGTGAAAGGTTTAAACAATTATTTTTGTTTTTCATTGGAAAAAAGTTATGACTATTATAATTAGAGTTCATAAAAACTATTTGCTAACCAAATTAAAATTGAGTCACCTATTCGAATGTCATTTTAGTGCAAAGAACATTTTTACCATTACAAATCACAAAATAATTCAAATTAGTTAAGGAAAGAGTAATGGAAACTTTACGAGTTTCTGATTAAAATTTACTATGTATGGTAATTATTCAATAAAATGAATAATGTTTGAAGATGAAATCCTACAAATTTAAAACTGTTCTTTTACTTCCTTTTTCCAAACACATTAATACAAAATTCTAGTACATATATTTCATTTCTTGAACTTTCCTATAAGTGTAATCTACACAAAATCACTTTGCCCGGTCAACGACGGGCCTTACCTGCTAGTGTATCATATTTCTGTGTTAATGCTACTATGCATAAAATTTGTTTTGGATATGTGTGCATGAAGTAGTTAGTGATTAAAATGGTAAACTAAGAATGGATCCAACAGAAGTAAATGGCCTTTAAACATTTTTATAACATATTTCACCATTTCATATAACTTTTATAGTTTGTGTAGTATGTACTTTTAAAATTTGCCTCTCTTGGTCCCAATGTTGACTTGCCAATTACCAATCTCTAGAATGAACAGCCTGTCAGGCATATCCATCTGACTAAATTGGGAAAAGATTTATTTCTGTGAGAGTAGTAATGCAATGGTGGGGTAGCCATGTCAGTTCCAGAATGAAAGATGTTACCTCACTCACCTTGTCTCACTAATAAGCCAGTCGTTTCTGTATTTTTATAACAGGAAAGAAATCCAGCCAATGCTAATGTTATGATATCTCCTTCAGCTTCTTAAAATAAAAAATACTGATGAATCCCATTTTTAGATCTTTCAAACCGAGAAAAAATTCTGATTTCCAATTTGCACTGCAGCAGCTGTTAAATATGTGATGCTTATTGTATGTGCAAAACTCCCACTGGTGACAATGGAAGTTCTACATACAGATTATATAAGAAATCTATGGTGTAGATGGAAGAGGAATTCTTGTTATCTCAGGGCCAAATCCTGGGTCCCACTGAAGTTCATGAGAATTGTTCATAGGCTTCAAAAAAGACAGAATTTGGCCTTTAATGTATTGAGTATTTAAACACTTTTGATAGATGTTATTAAGAAATTATTGTTTGCCAACAGTTACTTCACAAGTTAGCTGAGATACCCCAGTACTTCATTGAAGTTCATGGGAGAAATAAGCATGCAAACTATGTAAAATGCATTGGCAATGATTTCAACAGGGCAATCGCTGTAATGGTACATAATGTTTCTGGGATTTGGTATCTATTATGAGTCTCACATGCAGACTTTCAAAAAGATGGGTTCCTTCTTATGTGGCTAAAGCTAAGTGGTGGTGATACAAATCACTGAGAGAAGCAAGCCATGAGCTATGTCCCCAAAATAATTTCAATTTATGGCCCTTTAGGAAAAAAAGTTCCTCTGAATTTACATATGAAGATTAAATTATTATACATTACCTGGAATGCTAGTGGATTTAATCTGTCTGGCACATAAGACAGTGATATAAAAATATGTCCATATCTCTCACCTGATATGTAAATTTGTAACTCTTAGCACGCATGGAGGAGTTAGACCTTGATCCTGCAATTTATGACACATAGATGGATCCCAGAATACATGAAAGGATCTGTCCATGTATTTTAAACTGAAGGAATGGGACCTAACTGCAGAATTGTTACTTTGTATTCATACTAAGTATTTAATTATTTATTTTTAATGGTTGAATACTTTTGCAAACTTGGGAAATTTTGCTTCCCCCTCCACCCAACTGCCACTCAAACATATTCCAACAATAACAAGAAATAACAGAATAATGATTAGTATTGAAAACATTATATCAAGCTAGAGCTGCAGCAGGCTATTCTCCTGCAATAAAATTACCAATTTACTCGATTTTGGCTCCATCATACACATATTCCCAACACATATTCTCCAGCCTGATCCTGGCCTGCATATTTATTCCTGCCTCTGGAAATTTCCACTACATGCATCTGACGAAGTGGGTCTTTGCCCACGAAAGCTTATGCTCCTACACTTCAGTTAGTCTATAAGGTGCCACAGGACTCCTCATCGCTTCTGCATATTCCCAACATTTGATCATGTTCAGAGATATATCTGCTGGTTCAAAATTGCAGTCATTTGCAAAAATGCTATTCAAGTAATGTATCTTTGGATACATGGACAGTAGTTCCAAATTTACTTCTTGAACTTTACATGCATATGAAATGAAGTTCTTAGAATACAATACGTGGTCCTAGATAATTTCATATTTTAATAGAGAAAGTTATTGTGAATTATGTCAATTATTCTACCTTTTCAGTTATTTAATTTGTTCCCATCTTAAATTACAAAAATAGGAATAATGTATTTGAAATTGATAAGAATTCAAGGCGTGAAATCATTTTTCTAGTGTAACTCTTAGTGCCTGTTTTATTAAGATCCTGAGTGGAACAGAGTTCTCGAGTCCTGGCTTGTTATATGAAATCAACATTGCATACTGAACAATGCACAAGTGTACAATGTCTGAAATAAAATTCAATGCTTGGGTTTCGTGTATAAGTACCATTAGATTACAAGACCTACTTCCCTTTAAAATGGAAGAATGAACAAAAGAATCAGATCTATCATAGCTTGTACTTAATTTATAATTGAAATCAAATTCATATCCTACCTATTTTGACTCAAAGATGTCCTGTGCCTGGAAAAGTTTTTCCACTCTATTTGTCTTTATGTGCTAGATCAATATGGCTATAACTTTATCATTACTAGTAGAACAGAATGACAACAAAATAAACAACAATAGCATGTTTCCATAAAGGAAAACAATGAATTTACAAGTGTTTAAAGTGCTTTCTTCTTTGAGGAGATACTTACACAAATGCCTTTTCATGCTTATCTCCTTGTTGTCACAAACTATATGCCTCTTGCTTATTGTAATGTCATTTTTAATATTATGATATTGCCCTAAGTTCATAGAGCTTTGTATGTTGTCATATAAAAACATCTGAAAACAAGTAAATGACAATCCTAGTTGTGTATTATTACAGACAGCTGAAAATTTTATTAAATACTTAAGTGCTTCAACTGTGTCATTTTTTTTGTTTTGCCTCCAGTGTTACTTAAAGCACTATGTAGTACAAATAGATCATACTAAAAGCATATCCATTCTATTCCAGGGTTTCAGCTAGGATTATTTACTGAAGTTGCAGAACAGAGATGAATGTACGATCCCGTGTGACCATTTTTCTGCTGAAACTGCAGCATGACTTGCCTTTTGGATTGGTTTCCAGGTTCGCAGTTCCCCAAAGGTCTAAATTTGATTAATATTTTATACATCATTATGTACTGTTGGTAAGTGGCAGTGCTGAAATGCAAGTTGTCAAGTAGTATACTTTAATTTTCCAGTTCCAGAAGTTGTTGCAACAGCAGATGTGGTGGCTTGACTGCCTACATACAATGGGTCCAAACAAGCCACTTTAGCAGCAAAGAATGAGTGGATGCAGTGTAGGACTGCAAACAGATTGGAAAATTCCAATTCCTGAAAGTGAAAGCAAAGAGATTAAAAATAAGAGACAAAACAACGCATCATTAGGTAACCCCCATCACTGAGAGGCGACTCAAATATAAATGGTCCTAATTGTAGGATAGAAAGGTGCTAACATGCCTGGCTTTCTTTTTCGTTGTGGGAAGGTGAAGTGAACTCGCTCCATAGATGAAAGAATTGTGCATTATGGAAAATAAGTTGAATTAATATGTTCAAAATTCCCATTGAAAAACACTAGTCCATCTATTTCAGTGTAAACAAAAGCAGAAAAAGAGAACACTTTGATGTTTTTTTCTTTTCTATGTTGCCACATAATTTCTATGGGGTCTTTTTACAGGCCTTTTTTTTATTACTCTCAATCTGTATGGTAGGGTGTCTAGAATAGCTTTTTTAAACGTATACTGAGAATATTATAGGGTCAACAAAAACTGCCAAATGCCCCCAGAATGACAGCATCCATGATATTTTTAAGACTATAATTTTCTCTTGCCTCTGATGTTTAGGGTGTTTTTTTTTCTAGAGAATTTTGGCCAGTGTAATTCAATGAAACACTTAAATTTCTGCAAAATGTTGAAACAGCCTGAAAGTAGAAATCCTGGTATTGGTGTGTGTGTGTGTGTGTGTGTGTGTGTGTGTGTGTGTGTGTGTGTGTGTGTGTGTGTGTGTGTGATGCAGTGATATAATAAATGGGTGGGGCTTCATTATTCTGTATTAAAATCAGAGCAGCTTCCTCCTGGCCATGCTCAGAATTGAATTTTTAATTTTAAATTTTAATTAAGACTGAATGACTCCCCAAACCACTAACTCTCAATTAAATTGACAAGCTTCATGCCAAGTTTCACACATCTGCCATCTGTGCTTTATTTAAAATAAAATCTGTTTAGCCTTTTTTTATTATTATTTTAAACATTGGGAGAGGTGAATTTTTACCACCCTTCCAGGGATTTTATTCCAATTTCCCCATAGAAACCAAGAACAGAAATTTAGAAAGCTTTGATCATGAGAAAACAGAGTGTTGTCATAGAAGATACTTTGTACCATGAACCAACACTCATTATAATAGTATTCCATTTCTTTTTCTACCCATCCTTTTTTCAAGTACTACTAAACAACACCCAACGCTTAAGAATAAGAAAACAATACTGCACTGGAACATTAAAATATACTTCCATATACTTCTTATATTGAAATGACATACTTTGTGTACAACACACATAGTTTTTCCTTGTTTTCTCAGCAGACTAAGGCCCATTAAATCTAATATTATAGCTTGAGGATTATTCAAGTAAATTTAGTAATTCTAAGTAGTTGAATGTTCCTATAAACGCCATAATTAACAATAATGGACATTATCAATTAGCACAGGTACTTCTGTAGTTGTAACATACTGGTTAGATTCATTGTTCATAGATCTCAAACAGATATCAGTGATGTTCATTCAGAACTTGTAAATAGTCTGCTATTATTGTTATTCCTAAAAATACTACATTAAAATAAAGTCTTTTAGGTTGCAAAGTAAAGTACTTAAAAGCTAGAAAACCTGAGATTCATGGTTCTGCATGCAACCTTTATTCTATCCCCTTCTACATCTGCTCTGTGCACTAAATTAGGCAGGGATTCTGTAGAAAAATCAGTATATGACAATGTAATAAAGGAATGTATCATAATGCATTTGAGAGATTTAACTGAGGATTCCAACCAATGTTCAGGATGTCCCAGTTGTTTCTGTTTTCACACCACTTACAAGCAAATTAGAGCAACCAAGCTCCATGCAACAAATTAGAGCAATCAAATAACCTTGTTAACTTCTCTGAGATGAAGTAACTTAAGAAAATGTGATGACAACAGTGCTTAAAATCAATATAATGTAAGTTGTGGGATGTCCTTTCCCCAAAATAGTTAATGATCAAGGCATGGACAGATTCTCAGTTCTTCTCCAGAAACTTGGGTTCTCATTTACTTCTATTCTTTAAAAATCACTATCTTTAAATGCTATGGCTGTGAGGAAAACCTTACAAATATTATCTGGGAGCAACAAATGCAAACATATCTACCAGAGTTTGCAAAGAGCCTGAAACTATAGCTTTGAGATATAAACTGTCCTGTTCACATCAATGGATACTAACCCAGATATAAATAATAATACTGTAAAAGGTTAACACTGTTCACTGTTTCACTGCTCATCAAAACAGATATAAAAGGAGAGAAAATATCACATTGTGATTATCTACAAGAGCATTTTCCAAAGTGCTGAGCAGGAATTAATTGCCAGGATCAGGGTGCAAAAGACATATCAGTTATGATGAACAGGCCTTTAACAATTGGAGATGTTGCAGGCGACACCATTGGTTTCAGTTTCATAAAGGGGAAGTCTCAGCTTTCAGAGGTTCGGAAACACTGGTATGATATATACTTTTATTGTTTGCAGGATAGCACATGGTTTCCCTGGTTATCCCCCAGTACAGGAGGTCTTCAGCAACCATCATCCCACTCACATTGGATTTATTTTTATAAATCCAACAATATTGCATAAAGCCACAGAACTAAACAATTTGTGCCAAAGTTCTTGCATATTTGTCATAATTATTGTTAACTACAATGAGATAGCTTGGTAGTCAATCATTTGGTTAGAGGAAAGGGGGGACAGTTGACAACCTGGTTTATGCATCATAAAAGAAACTATTCAGATTTACTTACAGGCATTTTTTTTAAAAAAAACCAATTGAATGTAAGTGCTTCTGAGAATTGTACTGCATGACATAGTAATTTTGCTCATCAATGGATAGCAGGAAGGACATCATGGGTCACGCAAAGAACTTACCTGAATTCATGAACCCCAATACAAATAGGAGACCTAGGGGTATTTGTGTCAGCAGATCACTAACCAGGGAGCAAGAGAAGATGGTCCCTAATCACCATCCAGGAAGAAAATTAGTTTTGTCAGGGACAATCTTACTAATAATCTTTCCTGCCATGGCCACTAAAGTGATTGATACATTTCACTGGCATAAAACACTGTCATTTTGCAATGAAAAAATGAGTTTGACCCCCAATTTTTTTAATTCTTTGTGAACTAGGGAATACCCTGATTTACTCCTGCTTTCACCAGTCCTAAACTTCTACATTGTACTATTTGCTTCTGTCCCAAACTGTTAACTCTCAGAATCAGTCACTAATTGCCAGATAAGTGCATTTGCCACTTTATTTGAAAGAGCACTAGATACTTATACTGATCACTTAGACTTACTTTAATGAGTATTGCCCTAAGAATATAATATGCCATACTAATTACTATCATCTTTAAATAAAATGTAGCTTAGATCTGAGTTACTGTATTGACTAAATTTAATCTGTTACTAATTCATAGACTGGCACAGATGGAAGCTAATAACAGTTATATTGCATTACTGTGAAGACAAGGACAGAATTTCTGGGTAGAATACAACAAAACACTAAGGGTACAGAGGCATGTAGATTAGGCTATCGGACATAGTAAAATGAAGCGGCGATTTAAATAATCGCCGCTTCATTTAAATTTACATGGCTGCCGTGCTGAGCCGACAAACAGCTGATCAGCTGTTTGTCGGCTCAGCGCGATAGTCTGGACGCTCCCTAACACTTGATTTCAAATATAATAACGTTGACAGAACTCAGCAGTTTTGTCGACGCTGGTAAACCTCATTTTACGAGGCATAACGCCTTCTGTCGACAGAGTTCTGTCGACAGAAGGTGTTATTGCATGTAAACTGTCCTTGCGTCTACACTGCCATGTCGATAAAGCAGAACTGAATGTAGTGTAGATGCTCTTTGTCGACAGAAGCTTTGTCGACAGTATCTGTCGACAAAACTTCTGTCGACAAAACTCTGTAGTCTAGACGCACCCTAAGAGAGGAGAAACTGCTTTTGTACTTGGCTAGCCATTCACAGTCTTTGTTTAATCCTAAACTGATGGTGTCTGCTTTTGCAGATCCAGACTAACATTTGCCTATGACTATTGGCACTCTGGTTTCTGGAATTGAGGATTATAGTGAAGAACTAGAAGGTGATGTTGAAAGCAGTGAAAATGTTTATAGTGGGGACCAAATGGATAGTTTTCATTTCTTACACTTCTTTTCAGGTAAGGCACTGCTATGATTTTAGAAACACACCTCAAAACAGCTCCCGGAACACAATCCTGCATAATGCACTCCAAAGACATAGCTGGTTCTATAAAACTGAAAGTAATTAATTAAAACATTTCTATTTCTAGAAAACACAACATATATGTAAATAGACAATCTAATTAGAAATGTTTTATTAATAAAACATATACAGCCCAATCATCAAAAGTACCACAGTGCTATTTTTCAAAAGATCTTAATATCTTTAATAATATATCTTGCTTTCAGAAGCAAGTCTTCTGTAGCAAGTAACACAAAGAGAAAATTAATGAATGAAGACCTAAGTGATTTTCATATTAACCCAAGTTACTCGGGAGCACAATCCCCACTGACTTGCTAATGGGGTTTGTGGTCATAAGTCAATTAAGGGCTATTGAAAACTATGCTTCTAAACCACTTAAGGACAAGAAAAATACATATGATAGACCTATCAACATGCAGCTGCCTAGCAGTAATTTCATAGTTATGGTTGCATTCTAAACTGTACTGTACTTAAAATGGGACAAACTTGTGTTGTCTTGAAAGTATAGTAAGTAGTTAATTAGTGTGAAATGTCATACAGGGTTACTTTTTATATCCTAAGTAATGCTTGTTTGGCTTCTCTCCATAATGTTTTAATAAGAAGCCTCTGAATTTGGGCTCTGACTGAAATTGTTGCTTGACAATTCTACTTTTCATTGGTGACTAAAATCTCTTTCAAAGTTTGTCTATCAACTCAAAACTTGGTAAAGATGTGGATTCTGAATAGATCTAGAGTAAAGGGTAGTTTCTGTTTGCTTAAAGGTTAGGGCCATTGCTATCATTCACATTTTAATTGAAGAGTTATGCACTGTG